CATTGAGAGCGAGAGCGCGAAGCATGGCAACGAATTAACGGTGGACTTTTCTTTCGTTACCAATGAGAATCCAAAGGTAATACGTCACATAAGTGGCAGCTGCATAGAGATGGGTGTTAGGCATTTTTTACAGTCGAAGGCGAAGGAATCAGCGGCGGTAACAATACCGAAATCATTTTCATAGAAAAGCATTTTCAAACGCTCTGCCTTCAGCTGAGAGGCTGTTACAGTGTCTTCTTCAATATGGAAAAGAAGGGCCAAGCTGGATTTGGATTGGACGTCACTCTGAAGATTGATGAGAATTGACATTCGGAAATATGTGATAAAGAAGGAGAACTTATAAGAAAAGCTGGTGCAAGACTTTAGTTTGCAACATTTGCTTTCGCTAGGAATTTAAGATTCGCTTGGTTTTCGGAAAGAAGAATCGTGTATGGTTATGGAAAGGCCTAGATTTTAGAGTGCTTAACACAATGAGTAACGCTGTTATTCTGATAACTACCGGAGATTTTTCGACACTTTTTCTTGAACTTTTTGAGGAATTTAGAACTTGGTAGATAGAGGACACTTTGGTCTATTGCTTCAGGTTATGTGTAGTTCTCACAACTCAATTATTTATTTTTGAATTCTGCAGAGTTATAATTTGCACAAAAAATAGGATAGGGTTTAATCCTCTCAAATTTGCAATACATTTGGGGCAAGCGCTAACATCAGTAGCGCGGGATACGATCGCAACCACTTCCACGAATTTACTACTGTTCAGTCCTTTCGGTCTTAGAAATACGAGCATTGAGGAAGTACAGCGGCAGGAATTTTTTTTTCGTATTTCCTTCGGAAAGGTTGTAGATTCTAGTGGTCCTTAACGAAAGTGATAAAGTTCACTATGAGCTGAGATGTATTGGTTTAAACTTGGAGGTGGCCATTGTTTTTCGCACTGTACCCATTAGAATCAATCCGCATGGTCAATTAGGCGCAATAAGTGGCCACCTTTTGTCGTTTCGGTGTGTTTGTTTACTATTTAACAATGTTTGTTTTTTGTGGACGAAAGAAAAGTATAACATAAAAAAATGGAAAGTGTAACGCACAAATGCTAACATGAAACATCCTGTTTGGCCTCCAGCCAAGAGTGCTGTCCCTCATGTGGGGAGAAGGTGGAGAGAAGGGGGTTCGTTAATCGACTATATTCGGACTAGAGTGTCGGTCGACATTGCACCGTGTGCGCTGCGATTGTTTGCCGCCGATTCGGATTTGTCTTTGGTCTCGTGCAAATACACATCGTAATGTAAAGCTTCCTTTTGTGGCTCCTAGTTTTAAGCTTAGTACCAGTAACGCTGAAGCGTTAGTGGATGTTATCATCGTCTGGAACCCGTGTTGTATATCCCAGTGCAACGCGACGAATTTGTGTGGGTGGTGTTTCATCGAATGTCCCAATGTATTTTAAGACAATTTGTACACGATGACGGCAAACATCGCCTCCCTGTCGTCCACAACTCGCGTGGAATTTGGTTGTCTTTCTGCTTCAGTTGAGCAGGTGGAAGTGAAAGCTGTTTTTTCGTAAAGAAAATATTTCTGTGCACAGTAGGTTACAGAAGGGGTTTTTTGTGTTCCATTCTGCGTTTTTATGTTTTTTTCAAACCGCTCTGTATTCCATTTTCACAGCGTTCTTAGTTTTATTGGTCTCTTCATCTTTACTTGCTTTAACAGTATTCCTGTAGCCCATGAATTATCACGAATCCCATTAATTATGGGTTAATATAATAATTCGCTTTACTGAGTGGTCCATCACTTTGTTTGAAGCAAATCCAGTATTGATTTTACTGACATGAGTTGCAGGGTATGTGCTGTTCTTTCTATCATTATGATCAACATAGGTGTTGGTTTACCGACAACTGACGATAATAATTTCCGGCTCACTTGAGTATCAGAAGAGTCGAGAGTTAAATAGTTTTATAGAGGCGACTTTGCTGTGCTTTTTTATACCATTATGTATAAGTTTATGGGTGAGTGTCGTGGTACTCGGAGGCGCCCGGCGACACACGCACATGGGATCGATCCCCGTGTTTGTGGCTCTCGAATGCGTGGCGCGTGCCTCAGGGATTAACTATCGCCGAGAGTTTAATCCTTTATCCTTTTATGTATGAGTTTAACTTTAAACTTGTTTGCGACTAAAATTTACAAGAATTTAAACGTGAAACGTAGATGTTTTAATATTTCCTTCCGATGTTTTGGTGAACGCTGTTTTACGTTCCTTGGAATTCAGAACAATCAGAATTTCATCTCGATAAAACCATACTTTTATCTAGTTGGGAAAGGTTGACAGAGAGTAGGGGTTTTTGTTTCGATGATTAAAGTCCATTATTAATTGAGATATGTTATTTTAGACCTGAATAAGATCATTATTTTCACAGAAAAACATTGATATCAATGCATCCCGGGTGTTATCTGCCGGCTCACGGATGTATGGGTGATTCATAGCGGCAAGAATCACTGTTAAAAGTGACAGACTGAAAAATGTAGCAATGAGAAGAGCTGGTAGATAGCTTTCCATTTTTGAAAGTTTCTTCCCTTCAGGCAACCAAAGTTTCATATCTACTAACCTGAATAAGTATTACTAAAGTACTGAAGGAAGGATGAGTGAAGAGCAAGCTAGCCCTGAAAAGAAAGCGAAGATCGGCTGCGTTTCCTTCTATGAAATGAATTGTTGATGCAGATACCAAATTAAAAAGACCTTTTTCCATGTTTAATGGAATATTTCGCCAGTAGGCTATTCCCTTAGTGCACGTGATGAATTGGCTCACATCTTTCTTTCCCGTTCTTATCTCGAATTTTTTAAGGTCCCGCTACAATTTATAATAGTAAATAAAGAGTGAATACGTTGACATCATGAGATTATCTGTTCGTTTCTTTCCAGTTTTTTCGGGATTGTTAGGTTCGACGGTCATTCAGTGCGCTTTCGGATGACCTGCTACACCTCTCTTCACTCCGCATTGGGTCAAGTTGTGCGCCACCCATTGGTGCGCTAGTTTTGATATCGTGTATCCCATTTAATTGGGTCGTCTGCACGAAACACTCGAATGTGGAGTTCCGAGCATCGTCAGCATATAGTTGTGTAATGTATTGTCATCAGAATGCACTGCCATAACTGATTCGAGAAGCATACCAGTTCTAAGTTTTGACCATTTTCAGAATACTTTATGTTCAGTAAAATGTGTCATAACACGTGAACAATAGCGTATTTTCCCAGTTTGAATGTAGTAATTCTCAGTGGGCTATGTTTGAGACCTTGAATAGCGTTATTTTAATGGATCCATACTGGATATGATTTATTGCAAGGTAGTACAGATTACGTGTGGCGCAGCATCAATACCCACGCCCCTAGCCCACCAAGCCTTCCATCCCTCCGGCATCACAAGATGCTACCAGACTTTTCCGGAAGGATGACAGCACTGGCTGGATACATCGGTAGACCACCGCGAATCATTGCTAATGCCAGATATGCATTCAATCACTTCCATGCGATGCTCAATGAAGTCGAATGCATGGCACATCCCTCAGGGCTTGATGAACCCCGAAAGTTTTATCCCTTATAATTCATACTTAATCAATGCAGAGCAGTGAAAAGCCTTTCGTATGTATACGGTGGTTGGCTTTACCACGATTCATTAATAACTAGGTGATTACCAGTTATCTCAGCTTGGATATCAGTCCAGACGAAATACTTGTTAATTACGTGAATTAACGTTTCCAATTCTATGACATATTCTTCATGCCATGGATATTTCCTTGTGTGGATAGAGATGGAGATTCATCGGATTCATTACGATTTTTTCAAACGTCAACCATAATCTTAACTCTTTTATTTACTGCCTTTTTCTTCTTAATGGCAGGTTATGTTGCGAAATATAATTCGTATGAAATGCTGAGATATTTGCAAAACTCCGCACCACAGGTGTATGCAGTGGAGAACGAACACGCGCTGTTGTCCTTACCGGGGAGCAGCGCGTGTTCGTTCTCCACTGCATACACCTGTGGTCCGGAGTTTTGCAAATATCTCAGCATTTCATACGAGTCAACCATAATTTTTAGAGTAATGTCTTTTTCGGAGAAATCAGATCTTAAGAGAGTGGGTTAGATTTCTGAGTTCTTCCTTGGTCCCGAAAAATTAATTAGGAAAAATTATTGACTAGTATTAAGAAAAATCAGCGACAAACACTTGTACTTCATCGTTACTTAGCAGTGGAAATCGAGAAGAACAGTCGGAGGTCTGAGACCGACCTGGTCATAAGCGCAGATTTTTCCCACGAATCAATTTGTGATCTTCGCTAGACACATCCACCAGGTGTGGTATCCGCAGCAAACTGATCGTCCAGTTTGAAGTGTCGGTAGACCCTCCGGGGCTTCATTGTTTTTTGACTCGTCGTCATTCTTTCTTAAATATTGCTTCACCATATGTCTGCTACTATGAGAATTTCGAGCGCTGATGGATGTATGGAAGAACAGGTCATAACGGTTAGCGATAGGTCATTAACCTTCCGGCACGATTGGGAGCAGCCAAATGAGACCAGTTCATTCTCGCTAAGCTCCCTTCGAACGGAACGAATCGAACTCGCTTCGACCGCGGACACTCACATTGCCGGGAACTACTGCTCTAGACTCTCATCGTCGAAAAACCCTTGGCCACAATGAAAATTAGCGTAAAGTCTCGTGTAAGCTTGAAAGTACATCGTGTCATCGTTACGCATGTACTAGTAAGACAGGGCATCACTTCCCACTGTGGCGGTTTCATCGATTTTCGGATTGGAGTGGTCATCTCGTCATGTTTTGTTTAGATACTGATGTATTTCTTAATTATCACTTTCTCATAGTTAACCTCCAATGTGCACTTTTAACGACGCCAGCTTGTTGGTTCGATTCCTTCTTTGAAGCTTTTTTCTGTTGATGTTATTGTTTTTTTTTGTGTGAATATCCTCACAAGAGTTAAAATTGTTCCTTTTGCAGAAATAATGGCCTACGTACCATCGTCAGACGTTCCATCCGCCTATCTGATTAGTTCCGGTGGGTATGATCTCTCATTTGGTTTCTTCTATCCCTTTTGTTCCCTTCGAATATTTCTTACATTCAACCAGTCTTTGCCAATATTATTGAAGTCAAATTTATCACTCAATTTCATTCTTTAAGTAGTGCTAGCAACCTGATCCTCTTGAATGCTTTAAGCATTCGTCCTGTGGATGGTTTATTCGTGAAAGCAGTGGGTCATTGTCTTGCCAAAATCGCCAGTGAGATTAAAATGGGGTCTATTTGGTTCTCACTGAAGAGGGGATCTGTGGATATTGAAGTAAACAACAAACATCAAGAGTATTTCGACTTAAACCTTATTCGAAGAGAGGCTGGTAACGTCCATTGAGTCTGCTTGAAACAAAAAAAAAAAACGTGGAAGTTGGAGAAACCGTTGGGTGTCAGAATTTTTAAGGTTTGTTCTAGAAGAATGGAGTTCCTACGATTTCTATGCTCTTTCAGTAGTCTTCATTGAAATTCTTGGTTTATCAGTGTGATGGCAACTGTGCCCATCATCATTGTATCAGTTTTAATAAATACTGTCTAGACTTAATGCGTCTGACGTTCGAATTAAGTTTTTCCAAGTTTTCTGAAGGGAGTTCATATACGATTCGATAGGGAATTGGGATATGCTGGGACTTGAATTTCTTCTGCATTAAAATCTATTCTAGATGCTGACGCGGTGCTCTTGGATCTCATGGGGGCGTTCGTTCTTCTGGACGGTGGAGCTGAAGAAATCCTGTTCACGAAACACGTTCGGCAAGTAAGAACTTTTTTGGTCTTCTTTAACCACATTCATACATAACTGAAGATTCGTAAGGTTTTTTTTGCTGCGTAAACTTCGGTTCCTCTTTGTTGTTTTTTGCTTTTTTTTGTCTTATTTTTGTGGAAAGAATTCGAAGTTGGTTTTTATAAGGTAGAAGGACCACCCCTCTGATCCACAAGGACCGCGGTAGCCTGTGGTGTTGACGACCTGGGCAGATTTTCGCCAGGCTGACCTCGGGATTCCAGGGAAACACAATGGCTAAACAAGCAAAACTCCGAAAAATGGAGATTATGCTAGGGCCCGCTCAGTGAAAACGGGCCATCAAAGTCCTAGTCCAAATCCGAGAGGGACCATGGAGTGACTTTTATTCGCTTTATTTTACCAAAATATTTACAAGCTCAGTATTTATGGGAAATGTTAGAACTGGATGTTGAGCTATGATATTACTTCTAAGGAGCATCAGAAGTGAAGTAGTTTCATTTTGACGAAAGAATACTTCGAATCCTCGAGCTCACACAGCGTCGCTTTCTCATGTTTGGGTGGTTTGGCATTTCAATTTTTTGAAGTGATTGTCATCCATTTTTCATGCGTAACTTCATCTTTAAATATGTTAAAGGATAAATAAAGGATGAAGCTCTCGGTGTTAATTAATCCTTGAGGGTTGCGCCGCGCAATCGACTTCAATAAACATTGTTGGAGGTGACTTGAATGAATCCATATCTGTACTTTACAATGACTCGCGGTGTCCTACAAATGTAGTATCGAGTCGGTAGTGCTATCCTCCCAGCTAAGTCTAATTCCATTTTTCCGACCCCGGAGGGATGGAATGCTTGGTGAGCTACAGGCTCGCGGTTCGATCCCAAGTGTGTCACAGAACGCCTCCGACCACTGCGCCACGAGCGCCTTTTGGATACTTTACAGTCTTGTAATAGTTTGAGAAACAAAACAAGTGAAATTTAGGCTGGGATTAGTGTGTAAGTGTAGGTTCCGTCTGTAAGGTTAGTGGTCGGCAGGAAGTGCAATTCGTTTGTGTTTTTAGTAAATTTATAGATGACCCCTTTGCTATGGAAAAACATTCATTTCCTTCTCAGCCGATCCGCCAAGCCATTACACGTATCAGTAGAGAAGATGTATTGTACCAACATGTTTTATAAAAGAGGAAATCTATTGCGTTGCTGATATAACTCTACGATAATGGTCAAGGTCTCCAAAAGCGCCTCTTAATGGTTCTTTCCACCCGTAATTTCTTTCTTAAAAGTATATATATGCATATACCTATAAATAAAGTTGACTGACTCGTCTCCACGTTCCATAAGCCTCTTAGCACTACTATTTGCCTCGTTGTCTTGTGACCATCATTCATAGTGCTCGTGTGTGGATTCGCTCATAGTTTCCTCTAGAAACCGGAGATAGTGGGACAAGGGTGTTCTCAGGTGTCCATCACAAGTAGTTGCTGCTCTACGGAGGTTAGAGGGAAATTTGTTGTCTTGTTACTCAGAACCTTTCAGGTTAGCAGCGATTTTTGTCGTGGCAGTGAATAATACCATTAATAGACCGGTCATTCAAAGGCGATGTAGGAAGCGGAATGCAACTAATGATGATTATAGTATATAGTAATATTACTTATACGCATATACAGTGTTGTTTAGATCGATGCGAACGTCATCAGCGCACCGACGAAAGCAGCTCTCATAAATGCTGTTGCGCTCAACAAGGTTCTGTTTTACTGTATTATATTGTTGATGAGAAATTTCATCACGAAAATTTTTTTACACTGGTTGGTGTTGTTGTCCCATTGTTTTTAGAAAGTTTTGATCACAAGGCTTTTTGAAGGATGCCGTGGTTCCTCTCGTGGGTAACATCCCAACAGTCAAATCGCCCGGCTCGGCAGATTCCGTCGCTAAACTTCTGAAGGACATTGAGCGAACCACTGAAGGTCTACCTATCACTCCAACACGATTCCACCCGAAATACGAACCTATCGTCATCAGCAAGGTGTAATTTTGGCTTGTTATAGTAAACAGGTGCAGTGCTATTTCGTAGAACTTACAGTGCTTTTCAATTCTAGTCTCTCCGTACCGGCCGTCTTGAAATGTTTGTACTCTCTGGTGATGCTAAGGAAATTGAGACACTTCGAATAGCTGTTGAGAATGGTGACGAGCAAACCATTGAAAGGGTCTTTTTTAGATGGATATGCTTTCAAGAACTTATGTTACTGTTGTGAAATTCTCATTTCTTAAAGGCTGCATCCAATAATGGAACGATATCAGTACTGGTGTGGTTTCCTGCAAGACCGTCTGATCCTATTAAGAGGATTTTGCACACGGGTTTGTTTCTTATGTTTCACTTTTGTGTTCAGATTTTGGAACACATACGTGTTCTCTGGTTTTGTCTGTGTTTTCATTGGGTGTGTATTTGACTGGAGTGTTTTATATTCGTCTCCCAACGGTCTACCGCTTCTTTGTGGTTAGGCGGTGTTCCTGGATGTCGGGCTGCGATGTACAGTGGGGAGATTCGTCCCACCTCCCCCCTATCCAAATAAATATTAAGTTCGAGGTGCTTTCTGGTCTATTTCACATTTGTTGATATGCCCAGTTTTTCGTCACGAAAAGAACATTGGACTCATTTTATATATGTCAAAGTGGTTAGAAGGCAGAGTAGGGTAAAATCCTCTTTAGAAACGTTCCTTTTTTCTCTATTTGTACAGTAAAGGAGAAATCTCCGATGGGCCCGTGTCTTCGTGTTTATTCAGCAGGGACATTGGCTTTTTTGTTATCAACAGTCCCAATGCCATTCTATCGGTTTAAACGGCATGGGACGCAGAAGGTCTCATGTAGGAAACAAAATTATCCCAAAAGTTGTTTTCTTCTTTGTCAATTTTCATGGGTGCGAGAAAAGGTGAACTTGAGATGGGGGTGGGAGTGGGGTAACTATCAAATATGATGCAAAAGGTACTGCTGAAAACTTTTAACAGAAAGGAATTAGTCGAAAATAAAACGCATTGAAATCCACGCATATTGTGGCCAAGATGTTATTTTCTTGGCGTTGCCTGGGGTTTAGTCATGTCGTATATATATTATTTCAAATGTTTTCTTTAAGCGTTTCTTTTTGTTTCATTTCCTTTCCAGCACTTCTTTTTTAAGGCACGGCGCCATTGGCTCGTATAGTGTTAGCACTAGAGAAAGCAAAATCGTTACCGTTCTTGCACAGTCCACTTGTATCAGCTGCTAATGCCTACAAGGAGAATGGTACACATTCGAAAACTGCCAATTCCAAGACCACTTTTCCACTACGAAGTGTACCACAAACTTCACTAGCTAATGCTGCGAAAGTAAGAAATTTTTTGAGGAGTTTAAATGGAATTCTACATTTATTTGGAGTTTCCATACAAGGTTTACAGGCACCACCATCAAAGCGTACGTCAGCTCCATTGGCAGGCAGTATTCCACCACGTGCTGGTGTGCCAACTCTTCCTAAGTCTTGTTGGTTTTGGTTTAGCAATATTTTATTTGTAACTGTTATTATTTTGGCATAGAATCTTTGGGAGAAACTCATTGTTATAGTTTTATTGTTGCGTATATTATATTTAATTATTTCTTCGTTAAGGTCCCTTAATGCACTAGCAGCTGCTTTATTTCCAATTTAGAATGGTCTGTTTATGCACTTTTTTCATATGACCCGTCTCCACGTCTACTGTGCGGATCCCAACAATTCTTACATTTGATTCGTTCCCTTGCATCCATTATCCACGAAGATCTTCCAACTTTTACGTGTGGTTTCGGCTGCTGCTTGAGAATTTTCATTTGATCTTGAATGTCGCACAATACTGGTCAAGTCGATTCTCCCTGGAGTCCTAAAATAGCTGGACTAGAGCGTTCCCAACTGGATTGCAGAGAATTATTTTTCTCAGGCAAGTCCGGCACCATTTTCTTGACCCCGGAGAGATGAGAGGCTGGGTTGACTCGGGGCGGAATCGCACTAGCACCATGCCCTTGATGACTGACATCACTACCACTGTGCTATCTGCCCTATTTCTTTAGGTGTTAGCATTTACATTGCTGTCTTTAATTAATATAAAGAAATCTGTTTAAATACATAAATATGGGTGTTAATTATAGCTAATGCGGCATCACAACGTATACCTAAACCAACGAATCCGACATTGGCAAACAATCGTACACGAGTAACGGCTTTGGCTACATCTACAACGAAACCCAGTGCGCCAGCGACCAGGACTGGAAGCGCACCAGCTAACAAAAAGACGAACACCAATGAGGTCTCAGTTCAGAAGATTGTAGGGTATGTAGTGCTTTTTTATTGTCTTCTTCATTAATATCATAAAAGCGCATTGGAAATATGAAAATTTGCAAACGCGCTTCTGGTTTTGATTGTAAGGAAGCATTATCAGACCGCTAGAGACTTGTCAAAATTCTGTATTAATACTTTGAGTTGATCAGGTGCACTTGGCGTCGTTTTTCCAGGACATACGCCAAAAATTCCCCCGTGTCCCGTGCGTCTCCTGTAGTTAATAAAGCTGCTGAAACTAAAGATGCTAAAACATCGCCGTCAAGACCTGAAGATGCCAAACCTCTTCTGCCTACACCGGATTCTCAATTAACTGCTGAAGCAAACCCAACGTCTACCTTTCCGAAAGCCTCGGCTGAAGTGAGTGTCGTATCTTCGTAACTTTACTGAGGTACTAATTCGTTGTTTTTCAATCTCTTTGCTATAAGATGAACTGGATCGTAATCGATATGTGAAGATATTTTTAAATGTATAGGAAGATAGCGCTGTCCATCATTAACTGTCGCTCCAGTTTTAGTGGCTTAGGAATCTTATGGATGTTGTATATGCTTTTTATTGGAATTAAAAGCTTGTAGTGTAGCTTATAGTGGCTTAGTTAAACGGTTGGCATGTCGTTTTAGTTGGACGCTTCCGTATACATGCTTGACGATGTAGTCCCAGAAATCAACATCGATGCGCCACAAGATCCCGTTTCTCCAGACAGTCGAACTCCAGTGGAATTAGTAGTGATTCCACCGACACCAGAACCAGTATCGCAGTCAGTTCACTCTTCAGTGGATGGTCTTCCACCAGGAGTAGTGGAAAAACCCACAGATGATAAAGAAAGCATGGATCGGCAGGTACTCACTACTACACTACAGCACTACTGCATGCTTTTTATTTGAGAACGTAGTAATGTAATGTGTATGTGCATGTGTTAACGAGAATTTTTTGAGATAGCTAGCCGACTATTTGTAGTAGTAATGTGTTGTGTTGTAGCCTCTTTTGGTGAGAAACGACGATGACGGACGAAGCAGCAGTGATGTTCTTTCGACAACCACAACGCCCGATCCGGCCTTTTCTTTCGATCACAACTCAGTTGAAGAACTTGATGATCATCCAGATAATCAACTATTAGATTATCATGGACGCGAACGTAATGAGTCGCCACAACTTAGCTCACCAGGCGCTTCATTCATCTCTTCATCAGATCAGATCCCTTGCATCGGAGCACCATCAAAAGATGTGTTGGCCTCAGAGTCGGCTCTGACACTTAAAGACGATAATAGCCTAAAAGTTGAACTCCCGACAGAACCTTCAATTTCTCCAAATGCGAATGATTCATTACCTGTTTTACTTTCCAATACGGACAGCATGCCAGCAGAACGTTTTCCCACGCTGTCGTTAATTGAAGAGGGCCGAGATGTTGTTGTTGAAGGCGATGTGCCTGAAGAATTCAAGGTTTCCGTTTATATTTTCGACTGATTACACTTCAGTTTCTCTTTGGTTGAAAATATTATTTTCGTTATATTTCTCATTAGAGGGAAAGCTATTCAGTTATATTAAAAAAGAAGACGTTGAGAAGGTATAGCATTCAGAGTGATGATGTAGCTTTAAACGTTTTCTTAACATAGTGTTACTGAGGAGAAGTACACGTTGCGCAAGATTAAGTATCCAGTGAATAAAGCCGCCTATAAGATGTCCGGAATTTCCTGTGGAGTTATGACAATATTAATTACTTGGATACATGAATACTTGGACGACCTGTCTTCAGTGACTGTGTGGGCTCCAGCATAATCTCCATTTTCGGAGTTTTGATGGTTTAGCTACTGTTTTCCTGGAGTCCCGAGGTCAGGTCTGCTCAAAATCCTCACCACCACAGACAATCGCCACCATTGTGGATCAGAGGGAGTTTGCCACCATGCGACTAGTTTGGTACCAGGACTGTGATGGATCCTGGTATTGGTTTACTCTTAGCTGGGCTTCCTCATGAAAAATCCTGACTCCTCAGCATGGGCGACCCTACTGGGAAAATGTATCCCCCGCTGCATATCGCATTGCGTCACCCAGGAACAACTCCCAACCACGATTAGGTGAATCGTTAATTAATGAAGTGAATTTCGTCCTAACCATTCGTCTTTGAAGTGACGAAAAAAACAATTTTGTTGAGAAGTAAGCAAGTTATTATCCCTACGAACAGCTTCAGGTGCAGCGCAAACAGAAATTTCGCCCAATGGACGTTCCAAAAATGTTTTTCATGCATTCCTTCTTTCAGGAAAAGAAGATATTAGAGGGGCCCAAATTGTTTGACTTTTTAGATGAAGTAGTGGTAGCGGTTTCTGCGTTGCATTTTAACCATTGTTATTATCATTGCTGGGTGCCAAAATAAAATTTTCCTTCCAAAGATATATCTAAGATATCATATGGCAACTTTATTTTCCTTATTTCAGGGCCCTCACGTTCCCCAAGTAGTTGGAGAAAATGGACTGCTGGATGATTTGGAGGATCCTCCAAGACTGAAGAAGATTAGTATGGACACTGATAATTTAAAAAAGGGATTGGAGGTAGGTATATCATCTGATTCCATCCTGTTAAGATGATTGACAGAAGCGTTAGAAACTCATTCTATCAGCATACAGATAGGAATTTTTTGCTTATTACCGGTGCATATACCACATGTTTAGACTTTTCTCACTAGCTAATAAGCTGTCTTTCGACTGTCGCCGTTTTTGTTTCAGAATGAAGAGTGCAAGAGTGCTTCAGAAGAGTATACGGAAGCAGTGCGCAAATTGAGCCAACAAATGATTAACGATGCATCAACTCCCCTTGCTTCGGCTCTAGCTTCTTCACTTATTGATGGGGTTGAAAACGCCGTAAAGGTGGGCTAAAATTTATTGCTGCAGTGTAATTTATGACGCCTCCCAAAGGTTTACTGCCGCACCGTGGATGGAAGGTGTTCCTGGGTGTCGGGTTGCGATGTACAGCGGGATTCATCCTCCCAACAGGGCCTCCCAGGCTGAGAAGTAATCCCATGTTTACATCAGGAAGTCCAACTAAGAGTAAACCAAACCAGGATCCATCACCTTCTTGGTATCAAACTAGTCGCATGTTGGTAAATCTCTCTCGAAGCCACAATGACCTGCGGCAGATTTTGGCCACGCTTGTCTCGAGGCTCCAGGGAAAGGAGTGGCTAAATCAGCAAAACTCTGAAAATGTGGAAATTTTGCTGTAGCCCAGAGAACGGGTCATTCAAGTATCAAGTAATTTATGACGAGTAGTTTTTATGTCGTGTGTTTAAGCAGCAGTTGTGTTTTTTAGTTGATTTATGGTTTCTCGCCATTCTTGTCATTTATTCTGTGTTGAGAAACCTTTATATTATATCAACGAGTACCTGTGATACTTATAACTTTATCAACTCAGGTTGCTGGTTCAACATTGGAGTACGTAGTTGATCAAACCAGCAAGGGTTTGGACGCTGTTGTTGAAGAAGTGAAGGATGTCTCCAAACAACTGGATGAGAAAGTATGGCATTTTAGATTTATAAGGAATAAACACTTAACCATGGAAGCTTAAGGTTGCTTCATACTAATAGGAGCACGTCTTTTTTGTCTTTGAGAAATCCGTTAGGCAAAACTGTTTGCTTCATGAGTTCTTCGTCTCGTCAAAATTTTTATTGTTCTTATAGCTACTTAGATGAAACTGTGTTTTTTCCTTGTAGAACTTCATAGTTTCTCTTTTTCTGCTGTGTTAGTTCCAGATTTAAAGCTGTTATCTAACGAGATCTGCTTGTCAGTTGTTTTGTTCAGATGTTGGCTATGCAGAATCGCTCGAATCTTATCGAAGATGACGATGCTAACCATGTTGTGAAATACGAAGAGGTTTGCTGATATTCTTTTATATGCTGACTTCTTGATATGAACCGTTGAATTGAATCAAATGTTATCAATTCTCTTATCTTTTCTTTTTCGAAATATATATGAGAGGGACGCATCTTATGAAGACCTATGTATCAAGATATTTTTATCATTTCAAACAAATCCGTTTGGGTGCACGTGGGCGATGATCGGGGGCGCCCTGCACACACATGGGATCGATCGCCGCTCCCGTCGCGTACCAAATCTTTCATCCGTACGGGCTTGGGAAATTGCTGCAAAACCTGTTTGGGAAGATAGCAGCACTGGCTCAGTACATTGGTAGGCCATCGCGATTCATTGTAAAGGCCAGATATGCATGCAGTCACTTTCAGCGATGCTTATTGAAATGGAATGCATGGTACATCACTTAAGGATTGATCAACACCGAAAGCTTTATCCTTCATTTTATCCTTTAACCTAAATCAACTTTAATTACTTCGAGACTTATTAATAACACAATGTTGTCACTTCTAAACAGGTTTGTCGACCGTTTAATTCCAATTATTCTTTGTATTTCATGCAGTTGATGTGGAGCCATGGTGATTCCTGTTCTTAGAAAAAACAGCAAAACAGCAAAGAAGATATAGCGTACTTGTGTAGCCGTGTTTTATGACTTGCGTACTTATATACCACCACTTTAGACAGATCCGATTATTGATTCCGTTCTCGAGACCGTAGCAAGCGACTCAGAGAGAGTCGATCTCGCCCTAAGCAATGGTGGATCTGAACTTGAAACTGACGAAAAAGATGGGACGAGAAAACACGAGGTACTCGTTTTCATTCTATTCTGAACTAGGAACCGCTTGTGTCACCTGTCTTTCGTTGGTCGACAAATCACTCCAGCAGGTCTTTTCTTCTGGTCTTTTCCGCGCATCCAAATTGTATTTGTAGAGTTCTCTTACCTGCAAAACTTGAGACACTCGAAAAGCATGGTTTTCTTTCAGAATCTTCGATAATTCTTATATCTGATCAGTCTGACCTTTCCTGATATGTGACGCATATTCCGCACGACCCTGTTCTGGAATGGCCGTTTACCTACTGATTATCGCCATTCTGTTTTTATTCACATGTCTCATTATTACATCTACTTTGCGGATCCCACCGTTTCGTTTCGTTTTCCTCGCATTCATCGCTTTCAAAGGTCTTCGAATATTTTGCTTTTGTTTCGGCTGCTGCTTGAGGATTTCATATTCATATGAATGTTGTAGAATGCAGGTCGAGTCGCTTCTCCTTATGATCATGGAGGTAGCTGAGCTAAGTCGTTGTCTTCTGGATCAGACGAGAGTGTTGGAAGTGGGTCGAACCACTACCTTGCATGCAGATGGACCGCATCACTAGCCACTCCACTCGCTATCCTTGACATCTTGAAATATGTGGCGGCACCCTGATCTTTTACTATCGACATTGCTTCTTTAGCCTGCGCTGTGTAGTATAGTTTTAGAATGTTGTCGCTAAAATGTTTGTTAGCGCTAGGTTAAGAGTCGAGGAAATGGGCAGTTAACTAGACGTTCTTTGTTCACTTGATGCGCATCCTTGATGCTCTTATGTGCTTCTTCTGCTCGTACACAGCTCTGAATCTAAGTTGTTTATCATGCTAACTTTTCGATCTGCATGTATAATATGTATCAAGAAGCTTAGTAGATATTCGTTCACTGAGTGTGAGAGGACATCGGAGATGAAACCGTTTCACATGAAGAATGTTTTTTGAAAATCCGACCAAACACTGATTTTTTTATAAGCGCCGTCGAAATCGGCAAGAATTTTCGTTCTGGTCCTACACTTTATGTTTTAAATAGGCTTAGTGTTAGGCTTAGGCTTGCAAGACTAAAATGATGAGGTTGCGAATTAGAGAACATTGTTGTAAAATCTGTAATTCAAAAGAGTTTTCGCTGTAAATGTCACCGTTTTGAGATTTAAACTTCCGCTACCATCCGTAATTCCTGAAAGCCTCATTTTTTCCATTGAGGTGGATGAGGACGGTTTTCGTGTTGCAGCTGATTCTCACCATATGCGGCTGTACCTTCTTCCTCCATCGACAGCACGTGGCACACGTGGTAGAATTTTTGAATACGCCTTTTTTATTGTGTTATATGCATCCTACCAACGGTTTACAGCCTTGTCGTGGCTGGGAGGTGTTCCTGGGTATCGGGCTGCGATGTACAGTGGGGATTCATCACCCCGGTAGGGTCTCCCAAGCTAAGGGGGAGTCTGACGTTTCCATGCCAGGATTCGTTACCATCCTGGTATCAAACTAGTTGCGTGGTTGCAAATCTCCCAGATCTCTAAGGGCGGCGATCGTCAGTGATAGTGACGACATGGGTCAAACATTGGCGGGGCTGACTTCGAGACTCCAGGGATCTGCAGTGGCTAAACCAGGGAAACTCTGAGAAATGGAAATTTTGCTGGGGCCCGCAGAACTAGTGGGGATGGGTTATCCAAGTATTTTATATGCATTAATGTGAAAAATTCGAATAATGTGCAATTCTTGTGTGATTTCCTTTGTGTAGAAACGGTAAGGCAGACACCCTATCTCTCCTGGGTTGGCATATAGGTATGAGACTTACAATGGATAGGGGGAAATAATTATTGATACTTTGGTGGGCCTTCGCAGATGTTATTGTAAGCTAGACATGTATTCAATCACCTCTGCCATGCCTACTGATGTCAGATGCATCTCATATTCTTCAGAGGTTCATCTACGCTGATTGCTTTATGCCTTATTCTTAAACGCTTATATTTCAATGGTTTAGCTTTCTTTTTAGACTTGACGACAATGCTTCACGTAGAGGAAATTATAGGAATGTGTAATATAAAAGTTTCTAGCCCCATCGGTTCCACACTTGTCTCGACCACTCTTCTTTGAACTGGTAACTGTACCTCACTTCAGTGGAAAGTGCAGTATTACTGATGAGCAAAGTGCGATTGAGTACTTCACAAACATCAGGTAGGTATGGTTTTTTTCCGCTTGGTTTTAAACTCATTTAGCTTTACTGGAATATATCGGTGTTTTTATTAAAATGTTCTGTGACTTTTTTAAATCGTAAATTCTTTCTAGCGATATCCATTACTTTAGTGAATGGAACATCTAAACATATTTTGGTTGCAGAGCGTTTTTGTAGGTCAAGCAATTACATTTTGCACACCGGAGACATATCTCCAACTGTGCTTGATGGATGGCTTGCGGGCAAAAAGCATTGGTTGAACAGTGGTATGTTAATGTTGTATCGATGTCTTGACATTTTGCTGTATTTTACAAAGCTTCAGGCCAGAAAAGCCGCTTGATTCCAACACAACATCACAGTGCGCTGCAAGCATTCGTGACTGCAAACGCGTCGCAAATGGAGGAATGTGGCCTTGTGGTGAACTCTGCTCTCGATTGCAACACGATTTCTTTAAACACGGAAGACGGACGGATTGATTATAAGATGATTAAGATTGAACTTTAGGGATAGCAGACTTACAGCTTATCACTCACTCATAACTTCACCAAACGTATCATTTTTAATGCTTTTTTGATGTGTAGTCCCGTGTCTATAATGAGCGTGTATGGCCGGCAAAGAACAAGCAGACAGCGCTCTACGGTTGCTCTTCGTAGTTAAGTTTTATTTTTGTTGAGTTCTCACACTGTAAGTAATAAAATTAAAAAATCTTATCGCTAATTCGTGGGTTTCTATTTAATTCTTAGCATCTTGTGAATTTAATCATAACGTTTGAGATCACACTGTTCACGTTGTGCAAAATTAGTTTTAGTTGTTGCAAGTTGAGTTATGCGTTAAAGTTTGATAAAAAGTTCTAAAATGTCTCGTGTTTCCAAGAATCATACGAAGGTTGAAGATGCTTTTTCTTCGTACAGATTGTTGAGCTGATTACCGTTTAAAGTCACTAGTTCGTTAACACCTCACGACCACGTGAAATGACTTAAACGTACACTGCTGCTCGTTTCGGACTATGAGTATTGATTTCAATGCGCACAATTCTGACCTGTTTTACCGTTCATAGCTATTTCGCCGGAGTTTTTGTTGCCAATCGATAGCTTGTCGAACGTTGGTTTGGTGTTTGTTCATGGATAGGAAGTATCGTTGCGCTTTACTAGTGAAAAGAATACTGCACTATGCTTTCGGCAGAGTTAACCGTTCTGCTGGAATTCCGTAGCGGATCCATTTGTACTTACACAGTTAAGTTTAGAGGTTAGGAACATATTATGGTCAGGAAAAGGTAGCATACCACCGAGGAGATTATAGACGTGTTTGTAGTATTCAGAAGGCCTAAGGATCCTCAAAGTGCTGATTTATCGGTGGGCAAACTACAGCCTTGGGAAAGGAACACATTGCAAACTCCTACGTCACTTTTTCTATCGCCTATGTTGTAAACGGTTAAATATTTGAGGAAAATCATATTGAAGTATTTCTAGTGGTAGCGTAGAGAGAGTTCGCATTCATTAAAATGTAAAGTGCTTATTAGAAAAGAGTGCATATTTCTGACCTATATTTTCGTAACGCTTCCAACAGTCTACCGGCTGAGAGGTGTTCCTGAGTATCGAGCTGCGATGTACAATGGGAGATTCATCCCCCAGCAGAGTCTTCCAAGCTGAGAAGGATTCCAACGTTTCCATCAGGAAGCCCAGCTAAGAGTGAACCAATACCGGGATCCACCACCGTCCTGGTATAAAACTAATCACATGGTGGCAATTCTGTCTCCGATCCACAAGGGCTACGACTACCTGCGGTGGTGACGACCTGGGGCAGACTATGGCCAAGCTGTCCTCTGGACTTCGGGGAACCATAATGGCGAAAGCAAATCTCCGGAGAATGTAAGTTGTGCTGAGGCCCGTCACAACCAATGAAGACGGACCATCCAAGTATATTTCCATAACAATATAATGATGCCGTAGACCTTCTGCTAGGAAATATTTTCTTAACGGTCGTCAACTTATACAACTAGCAACGGTCAACAATTTACCCTTGCTGTCTAAAATCTGTGCTTCTTGCATATAATCACTACTTAATGACAACAAATAACAAGAACTTGGCACTTGGTACTTGAAAGGCCCGTCCTCAGTTGTTGCGCGGGCCCCAGCATAATCTCCATTTTTCGCAGATTTGCTTGTTAAGCTACTGTGGTTCCCTGGAATTCCGAGGTCAGTCTGGCGAAAGTCTCCCCCAGGTCTTCATAGTCGCAGCCCAGAGGGAGATTTGCCATCATGCGACTTTGATACCAGGACGGTGGTGGATCCTGATATTTGTTTACTCTTAGCTAGGCTTTCTGATGGAAACGCCGGATTCATTCTCAGCTTGGGAGACCCTGCCAGGTGGACGAATCCCCCCGCAGTACATTGCAGCCCGACACCCAGGAACACCTCCCAGCCACGATGAGGCGGTAAATCGTTGGGACGACAAATAACAAGTAGTAATCAGTATTTACAACGTCCTACAATAGTCAACACCTAGTGCTTTCTACAATAATCTATTTGTAGTCCTTAATACTTATTATATTAATATGAAATATGCATTTCCTACACATATTTCTTTTGGTTTAGCATTTTCTCTGTTTGGTTATGGAGGTGTTCGACTGGGTAGATTGCGGTCAACATGACCTTTCCAGACTCCGAGAAGGGCGAAATGCACCGAAACTTCAGCTCGTTCATAAATAAGAAAATAAAATAACACCTCGTGTTTCTTTAATAAGGATGTAAAGAATTATTTAATCAATCCCGAGGTTACTAGAAAATCGGCCATGGGAAACGCAAGGAGAATCGACTCGATCAGCATAAGAAGATCGTATCGGGTCGGAGTTAGAGGGACACAAAAGATGTGTGAGGCGACAGAGCAACAGAACTACAACCTCAAGAAACCGGTGCTTCGCGCCTTCTGTTCGAGATTGCTGACTGTACATCTTCATATCAATGCGCGCTCCTATTGTGCTACGAAAGGCAAGCGGTCGTGAAGGGTTCAAACTCTGCACCCTTATCGCTATGTGATAGTCTAATAGTTTTTGATTTTATTAGTTCCCAAAATTGTCGTATATCACATTTTTGGGCTACTGTGAGATCGGAACTGAAATTTCGATTGGCATAGTGGTTAAAGATTTGGAGAATTTCATCCGAAAATATGCAGAAATTGATATCTACTTCGCCATTTGGATCTTGGTGTTTAAAGGACCGCTCTAGGACAAGTATGTGATCGTACGCCTATTGTTCATTACTCTTGTGTAACCTATCCGGACTAGCTTTGAAAAGGCGTCGATCTTAAAGTTCATGCAGGCTCCATGCGATCTTTAAACGATAATTCTGCCGAGAAGGCGATTTCGTTTATTTTGCTCTTCATTTTCAACGAAATATAGGCGAATAATTCTTCATGTTTTTGTTGAGCAAAAATCTGGTGTTATTTCATTCTTTATTACGACGATGCTGACGTTTGGACGGATTTCGCCTTCCTTAGAGCCTAGAAAGGTCGAGTTGACCGCAATCTGCCCACTCAAACGGCTCGATGACTAAACAAAGAAAATGCCAAACCAAGATTTTAATCACATTGAACACAGAATAGGTTCTTCGCATATTCAGTGCTATGAGCCACTGGATATGTCACGTGGAGACCAACCGCACAGAGTTCACATGGAAGCGTAAAGTGTCTTTCGCACCAAAACAACGTTCCTAAATCCCTCTCTCTGGCCAAGCAAAAACGATGCTTGTAAGAAACAAGTTTCGAACAGCTACCAACGTGTGCACACGAAGAGAGCAGAAAGAGGAATCCAGGAAATTGGCATGGGAAATAGCCATTTCAAAAGGCTACGAAGCTATAGCTCCTCGGGATAGATGTAGAAGAAAATCCAATCCCCCAAACGACAACTCTAGCTATAATAAAGTCCGGCTTACTCTGCGCTTCATTTCAAGCAATTGCAGCTATAAAACGCTGCTGAAGGAGTGCCGATCTAGAGAATACGGTAACATTAATGGAAATACCACTGAGCATTCTAAGATGCCAGGTAGTTCGCAACCACCTGTATGACTGTCCACAGAGAACGTAAAATGGTATAGTTTGTCCCAACGGTATGGTGATTGCATGAGTTCAAGTACGGTTTATCTGGTATTTCGTAAAGCAGACGGGGACGAGCACACTGTCGAAGCAGGAAGATCACTCTGGTTCTGTATAAAGAAAAACACCTAGTCGGTAAATTTAAGGTTAAACCAAATACTCCACTACGCACGCAAAGTGCCTGATGGCATAACGAAGAAGATTTTGAAGTAAAAGTTGCTATCCTCGAAATACCTCAACCTACTTTTCTCACCTGGGCCACGCAGATTTCTCCCCCATGCAAGACTCAGTGCGGTTGGTCTCCACTAAATAGCCAGTAGGCTTACAGAGAACAAAACGGTATCTCAAAAACCAACTTTCTTTCAAACTCGGCATGACTAATCAATATATATTCTTTCGTTCATAAGTTAATAAGAGATTGACAAAGAGGTTTTTGGCCTTTCGGAAATTCGGATAACGTTTCGAAGTCTTCATCTTTGTCAGAGTCGATGATCCGAGTCGATGTTCCACAGTCTTTCGTACACTCGATTTGGTTTCGTCGTCGCCGTATCAAGTCGAATCCTCTTCATTGGAACACTGCTCGAATGAGGCAACCTCACCTAGCGATGTATTTTTAAACATGTCAATTGTTGGTGCAAGCAATTTCCCGTTGAAATTGAACGAAGGAATAGAAAATGGTGAGTGTTTAGAAGAAACTACTTGTTATAGGAATGAAGATTTATGTATTAAGTCCTATCTGATGAGGTTCTGAAAGAGCCTGGCTAAATAGACTGCGTGTCAATATAACCTTCCAGGTTTTGAAAAAGGAGAAACCACCGAAACGTCACCTATTGTGAATGCATAAATGCCATGATAACAAACTCGTGGTTGTTCTTCAAAAAAGGTAGTGAAGTAGCTTATTTGGACTACAAAAGGGATGCTGCACCATACCTAAAAAAGTTTTCAGCTGTTACACGCAGTCTACATGAAGGTGTGCCCGTACTGAAGAGCTGGATTTAGTACTGCCCAACAGAACCAAGCAATATGCTGCTTACATCGTTCGATTTCAAACGGTAAAAACAGGAATGTATTGGCATCCTGATGAGCAATGCTACCTGAGTAAGGCGAATCTGAAGCGGAAACTTACTCAGAGCTGACCAATTCATGACTGTGTTTCGACACAGTTTTCGTTTTATTGGGAGGTTCCAGCACTCTTTATAGGTATATTTTTTTTACACCGATATGGAGCTTGACAGTTCCAACGACGCAGACTAGTAAAATATCACATGTCGCATTTTCTGTGACATTACTATCTACCTACAAAGTTACAACCAACATCGTTCCTCGCACAAGACGAAATGCTCATCCAGTTCACGAACTGTTGGACAAAGACGAACAGTTCCAACTGATCCCAGGATCGACTTTCTATTAACCTT